TGCATTGTTCCCAACGTAAATGAAGTAATAACCTAATAAATGTTTATGAATTTAACTTATCTAAAGCGGGAAGAGGTACCAATCCTTTATATATAAAAAGGAGACTTCATTCTCTAATAACTTAACATTTGACATATTCAAAGATTGACATGTGGCGCATTAGGAACTTGGCATGTGGCATATTAGGTGGCAATTCAACCAAATTTACTCTCTTTCATTATTTCACATTTTTTTACTCTTTTTTTCAAAAATGATATGGAGTAATTACTTATTTTGAACCCATGAATTCAAAATTAGAATTAAAATTATTTTTTGTGTAAATTATTACTTTTAATAAAATATCATTTTGTTAAGGACTCTACGTACAAATATTTTTAATACATGTCTCGGATTCGTTAAATCATAAAATTTACAAAATATTTTTAGAATAATAAATAAAATACACTCCTCACCTATAAATAAATTATAGATTTATTCATTATACATTTTCATGATATTCCTTTGATTGTATTTATTTAAATATTGACACCTATTAAATAAAATACTTCATTTACCTATAAATAAATTTTATATTTTTATGACACTTAATGTGTCACTTAATTTAAGATATAGAAAATGCAAATTCAATGTTTTAGAATAAAATCTTTGAATAAATTTAATTGTTAAAGAGAAACATTCATTTTTATGAAAATACTCTTTCCAATACAATACAATATTTTTTACTCGCTTCATTTATAAAAAAATTTGATTAATAAATAAGATTATTTTTTTCATGTTTAAATAATTTTCATACAAGTATTAGTTTATAATATTTAAAATGAAATTAGTTTTGTTTCTATTTATTTTAATCATAATGTAAAATTAAAAAAATAATACATTTCAATAACTAGATGAAAAAATTTAAAAATCAATACATGACTGGACTAAAATTAAATTTTTTTAAAATAATAAACAAAACATTCTCTTCATAATGAATTTGTTTATGATACCTTTAAATGAAGTTAGTTTGATTATATTTATTTAAATATTGACACTTACTAAATAAATACTTTCTTCGCCTATTATGAAATTTCTTATTTTTTAACACATAATATGGCACCTAATTTGAAACATAGAAAATGTAAAATCAACGTTTTGGTTAAATGTGATCCTATGGTCCACATGTGAAATGTTACCGAACAAGTCTTGTTTTCACTATTTTATACCATATACAATGTTTTTCAAACCTGGTTTTTACTTTTGGGAACACTTCGTTTTTTGGACTTCAGTTTTTCAAAACAGGTTTCAGTTGGCTAGACTTTAGCTAGGTGATAATCGATTATCACTTTGGTGAAAATCGATTATCTACCTCTGCAGCTTTGAACTCCAAAGTTCTGAAGTAAGCAATAGTCGATTATCACATTGGCAATAATCGATTATCAGTCTGTGCAGCCAAAACCCAGAATCTTATGAGAGGACCAATAATCGATTATCACTTGTTGACAATCGATTATCTAGGTTACCGTTGTCCTCCAACGGATAGAATTTTAAATTTTTGGACAGGGAATCTTTGGATAATCGATTATCATGCTTTGACAATCGACTATCAGCCTGCAACTCTGAAAAATTTGTCTTCATCCTGTTGGAAACTCTAGCAACGGATTTATCCCATTTTGGGCTATTAAATGGCACCCAATTCCTCTCATTTTACACACAATTCTTCAACATTTCAATACTCTTTCATTGCATAAGCATTCCTATCTTTTCTTAGCTATTTGAGAGCCATTTCTTGAAGAAATTGTCGTGTTCTTGAGCGTTTACTAGTTCACTCATATCTACTCTTTGTGAGAGTTTACTAGTTCTTGAGCTATTTGAAAGCCATTTCTCGAAGAAATTGTCGTGTTCTTGAGCGTTTACTAGTTCACTCATATCTACTCTTTGTGAGAGTTTTATTCTTGAGTGTTTAAGTGTTTTCATACACTTTAAGGGAGGTTGTTCCCTTGTTGTAAACTCGAAGGAAGTTCTTTGTTCCTTCGTGAGAAGTCTTGGAATGCGGTATCTCCAAGCAAAGGCGTTGAGGCTCGTGTGACTCGAGTTCTCAAGTTGTATTGGTTTGTTGAGCACCTTTAAGCTTAGTGGAGTTAGTGTAACTCGAGAGAGTCTCTCGAAAGGCTGGATTAGCCACACATTGTGGTGAACCAGGATAAAACTTGGTGTGCTCCTTCCTTACGCTCTTTACTTTTTCGCTCTCGTTTTTAATTTCCCGCGATTTTTCTTTAAACGCTATTCACCCCCCTCTAACGTTGGGCCTTTATTCTAACAGCTTCTTCTAACGAAGGCATACAAACTGACCAGGCACCGATCTGACCGGCTGGATATACAAGGACGTGCTTGACGTGTTGACGTGCTTAGGGATTATTATAAATACCGTTAAAAGCCTCATTTGTGAGGCATGCTTTAATTAATCCGCACGACTTGTAGCTTTGTAAAAGATCTTATTATCATTAATAACAAACCGGGTTACAGGTGTTTCCACCTACATCCCTTCCACTTTTTGTGACTTAGTTCTCACGTTGGTTTTACACCATCAATTGTGTTAAAATAAAAAACAATACTATATGTAATTTCATAGTTTGAATATATTGATTGTTATGGTTTGATTTTAGTACTAGACAATTTAAATTCAAAAATTTATTATTTCTGATGATATATTATGATATGATATTCTTAATTAAGTCATATAATACAATTTTTCAACATTGTTGAGTAAATATAATTAAGGAATAGATAAAATCGATTTTAATAGAAAATACAAGTATTTTCCAATTTTATTTTTTTTTTCATTTCATTTATAATTAAACTATCAATGAAGAAATGAGATTCATTTCTCTAAAAAAAGATAATTTCTTAATCCCTAATGCAAACAGTTAATCACTAACTCTGATGCAAACGGCTGAACTTTAACGTTGTTCCCATAAACAAAAACATATTTATTTATGACATGTTGAAATAAAGTCAGTTTGTATTTTACTATTCTAAATTAATGCGGCGATGTGTGGTAGCAGAATCTATTCTTTGAATCATAAGGTTCGTATTTAGTAATCTAATTTTTTAATTAATGCGAAGGAGACCGGATAATCATAGGATCAAAATTTTTGTGAAAGTAAAGGATTTTAGAGGTGATTCGATTTCGTTCCATTCCTTGGATTGCACGGGTTAAAATTCTTTTTATTCACATTCTTTTATGGTTTGATCAATGATAATTTAGAACGTTTTATTACAAAGTGATACTTTACAATAAATATGAATGTAAGGACTACACTTAAATGTAGACACTCAAGTATATATTTAACAATGTATATTTGAGTTTAAAAAGTTTCTAAAAAGGTGAACTATATCCTTTACTTTACTATAATATTTGAGACTCGGATCACAGAATTTTGACATGCGGCAGGTCTGTTCGGTAATTTTTAACAAGTCATCTGCCACCTATTTATTATGTTAATGAGTTAGTAATTTTAATTAATATAAGTAATAGTGATTTGACATTATTTTATTTAATTTTTCAATTTATGGAACATAGTGATCAAATTAATACTACACGTCTACACCTGACCTATAAAAATTTTCTGTTTTAACTTTTTCTGGTCAAACAGTGACATTCTCTAACTATAAAATAAACATAATTTGAATAAATAAATATTAAAAAAATATAAATAAAAACTATATCCTTGATGAACCCAAGTATATTGAATTTATATTAAAATTAAATATACTTTTTTCATAATTTGTAATGAAAGGGTGCCACTATTTTGACAAAAAAAGTCAAAATCTAAATATGTGCGTGCTAGAAGAGGATCAATATTGTGATAAAAAAGGATAGAATTCGTATTTAAACTTTATCTTTTTGTCTAACTTGACGAGAGATGAACGAGATCAACTAGAGATACAAGAGAAAGGAGAAAAAGAAATACTTCAATAAAAAAATATAAACGGGTGCTTATTTTTATGATTATTATTTTATTTTAGCAATTCAACATGCATCTGTAAAAAACGTAAACATCGTTCGTAGGTTTCATAAATTTATGTGTAGTTAAAGTGTAAAATTGTTGCTTTAGACTTTTTATGCATCTGTCTTTTTTATATGGTATCATAATGCAAGTGTGTTAGAATTTTTGTAATAACTAAATTAAACAAAATGTGTTGGTGACTATAATTTCACTATGGTTCCCGAGTCAACAAACACTATCGATAGGCTGTCTGCAATATGTGTCAACAAAAACTAGAGAGTTATTTTATTGAAAGTATTTTTAACGGTCTAACAATGATATACAAGCTCTCAAAGTTTAAAAACAGTTAACAATGACGTACATAACACATTCAAGCAGTGGCGGACCCAGACTTTCGAATGAGCGGTGTCAAGAGTAAAAGAGCCAAAACTTCTCAGGTGGAATGTGTAGGCATGTTACAGGGGTTAGGGGACAGCGTCTCCAAATTTTCTTTACAAACATAATTAGAAATAACAAAAAATATCAAACTGATAAATTTTATCTTTAATGAAGAAATAATTAAAATAACTGATAAATTTTATCTTCCAATGACACTCCGGTGCCACCGTCATTTTGGAGCACTTTCGGTGCTCCGTACGTAAAATTGATGATTCCTATCCCCCCAACTCACCTCCTAAATCCCCAACCCTACCCCGCCCCTGAACCCCCACCCCAACCCCGCCGTAAGCCCCCCCACAAAATGTGTGACTATTATGCAATGCATAATAGCCACACATTTTGTGGGGGCTTACAACGGGGTTGGGGTGGGGGTTCAGGGGCGGGGTAGGGTGGGGGATTTAGTGGGTGGATTAGAAAATGTAGAAACCGTCAATTTTAAAAACAAAAGTGTCTCTCAAAATGATAAAGACACCGCTAGTGTCATAAAAAGTGGAAAGTGGGTGTCACTCCAACCCCACTTATTTTACTATTATTACTCCTGAGTATTATAATGTGGCTTTCATTTTTCTATGGCTCATAAAATTCGGTTTTCTCTTCTAAATTCTCTGCTCCTTCTCCGTGTGTTTTTCCTCTAGGTTTGATTTCCTCTCCCTCGAATTTCCTTTTCCGTATTGCGCAGGAATTGCTGGATTTGAACTGCTTTAAACTTGTGCGCGTATGTGATTCCGATGGAGGAGACGATAATTGTTAGTAACTTGCAAGCAAAAGGTAGAAATAATCGAAACTTTAGCCCTATTTTCCTGTTTGTAGCTGCTAGTTAGCTTGGTTGTGAGATTTAAGCTATGAATGTTAAGAAAATGATTTTCATAGTTTGGTTGTGAGATATAAACTGGGCAATTAAAGAAACTGATGTTCATAGTTTGGTGGTGTGAATGTGAGATATCAATTGGAAGAAATGATTTATTTATTTATTTACTCCATACTATAAAAGATAAATCTGCAAAAAGTTACCTGCTTCTTTTTTCTCCAGCTAAGTGTATCCTGCATCTCTTCTCATAAGATATACCACACACAGAATTCATGTGTTCTGACAGAGCCTCAGTTGAAAAAAGGTTCATTGTATAAGCCAAATTGGGTTGCTTTTCACTAGCACAAAGTATTCTTTAGATATTTGACTCACAATTCACAAAGAGTCCAAAACATGAACAATGTGTGAAAGAGTGTATCAAGGATCTTTAGTAGATGCTTAACTCATCAGATCATGGTCTATTTGCTACTTTACTGTATTGACTATACAGTTTACCTGTAATAGATAATCGACTCATCAAAATGCGTACAAGTTACAATGTGAACTGTTTATAGATACTTCACTCATCAAAATATGCGCAACGTCCGTCTTTTATAAATATATCTGACCTATCAAATCCTGTACAACATGCTAGTGCACTTGTACTCCCTTAAGTTTATTGACTTATAAAATGTCAAAATATGTATGACCTGCAGAACAATGCTTTGAACAAAACATTACCAAGTGCCATACAGGCTCTGATTCTTCTAATTGACACTTAAAATGGACTGAACATAGAATGATGGGATAACATATATTAAAGGTTGTATGGCTCATTTGGTGTTAATTCTCAATTTGGCCAATTTTGGTTTAATATGAGCTAAAATGAGAATTAACACCAAATGTGCCCAGCAAACTTATATATATATTAGCATTCTGAACCAGAATCAATTCTTTATGAATTAACTAGTTTTGGAGAATCAAGAAGCTGATTACTTCTTAGAATTAGATTTTGGCGAGCAAAATCACTTTTTCTAGGGGTGAGCATGGTATTGGTACGCTATTTATTTCGGTTCAGTATGGGCATTTATGTTGTACCAATCCTGATATATTGGTTCGATATGATTCAAGATGGTTCGGTTTCGGTATAAAAAGACATACATACCTAGTTTACACTTTGAAATCTACCAAAATCCTTTGTTTTTGAAAAATTGAAAGTACATTTAAATAAAGAAATTTAAAAAACGGAATAATGAATAATTAAAGCAAGAATTGCTTACGAAACTTACTTTATACTATATATTTCACAAACTAAAAAGAACGAATGATAACAAAATATGATTTCAAGTGCTTCTTAATATTTTAAAATTAATCTAAAAAAATAAAACACGAATAAAAGTACAATTTACACATACTAAAACTTGAACCAAATTTTCAAAATAAACTTAGAACTCGGTTCGGTATTTTTTCGGTTTGGTTTTGTCGTTTTTTGGGGAAATTTTGGGATCAGTTTGGTACTTGCTCACCCCTAACTATTTCTGTGCAAAATTTGAGACTAACACAAAGCCAGTTGATTTTGGGAGAAACAGTTGAAATAAGTTAAAACAAACAAGCCTGTAGTCTCTTGTAGAATTATAATTCTTGGATTCTTATCTGGAGAACTCAATGGTCCTGGTTCTAGTATGCTGAATAGTTGTAAAAATCCATGTATTTTACTTGAGGTCGATGATTTATGAAAGAATTATTAATATGCAGTGCTGATGCAACAGATGGTTGAATAAATTTTTTTTGGATGTCATGGACGAGAGTGTGGATGATGAAGTGAATGACATGCTTGCTGTTGATGGAACACATTTCAGAAGTAAGGAGAACGAATACAGTTCAAAATTTGGTGAGCATGGTGTTCAGGAATCACATGAGGTTGTCATTCTGAATGAGGGTAATAAGCATGAGAATCCCTCCCAGTACTTCTTTGATATTCTTGATGGAAACAACATGGGCAGAATTGGATCTTCAGGACATGCAAGTTCAAGTCCCCGTTGTATTGATGATAATGAGATTATGGTCAGAGAGTTGACATTCAAAAACTACAATACTAGAAATTTAGCGATAGTTGGCATTCAAGGAAACATAGAGAGAGTGCAGACTAGACCTAATCAATGGAAATCTTTATGCCAAATAGCTGGGGGATCAGGAAAAGGAAGCTTACAAAGAGAAACCGCTGACAAAGACAAGTCTTCCACATTAGTAAATTCTTTAGAAGGTGAAGAGGACAAGCTGTTCACTGACTTTTTGGAGCAAAACCAGAAATATACAAATGAAATCCATAATTTAGCCAACGGAAATTCACAGAGTAATGATGATAAATCTGTTCTGAATCACATGCTACTGTCATCTGGAGGTATTCGAACAAAAATTGTATCGAATTCTGGGTTTTCTCAATATTTTGTAAAGGGTACATTGAAGGGAAAGGCTACCATACATAGAGGCCTAACTACCAGAGAATTGGGAAATGAGTATCTTGACCATACTCATTCTGATTGTGCGAACATTTCTTTAGGAGATTCTCCAAGCACAGATAGTGGTGTGCCTCCTGTTACTTATGAGGATGGAATCAGTTTGAGGGAATGGCTAAAGGTGAGGAGTTATAAGCTAACTAAAACTGAAAGCTTGTCTATCTTCAAGCAAATTGTGGATTTGGTGGATTCTTCTCATTCTCAGGGAATTGTTTTACTAGATTTGCGGCCATCCTGCTTCAAGTTGTTGCGATCAAACCAAGCTGTGTATCTAGGAAAGTCTGTGTTCACCGAGTCCACTAAGAACGTCATAGATAGAGATGTTCCTGAACCAGAGCAGGATCAATTGAAAAGGCAACTGGAGAACACCATGAATAACACTGTGGATTACAATGCTAAAAAACTCAAACTTGGTCATCCCATGAATGCTACCAGAAGATGGTCTCAATTCCCACCCGGGTCTAGTGTGAGATCAGCTCAAAATAATAATGCAGACATTTCTTGGCCACAAGGTTCTGTGAATGACGTAAATGAAGTACATAAATTTAATAGCCAGAGAAAATTCAGCTCTCCTCACTTGTCCACAAACCCACAACAATTGTTGACTTCTGGAAGTTGTATGTTGGAAGCTACGTGGTATACTAGTCCTGAACAAATCAAGAAGGGAAGGTGTACATTTTCTTCAAATATATACTGTCTCGGAGTTCTACTTTTTGAGGTATCTCTTATTCACACACATTTTAAGTTTTTTAAATGTCACTAGAATTTGAAATCTAGGGTACTTCGCATTAAGTTCTTGTAGTGCAGGGCTCTTGAAACTTTGTACCATACCTATTTTTTGAAAATCATATATTTTGTTCCTTGGTTTTGTGTTTTTTTACATATGTAGTCCTTTCTTATCTCATATCATCGCATGTTTAATTGTTTTTACTCGAGTGTATAAGTTTACACATATTGACAAGAGACATTAACAAATGATTGATAAAAATTATACACTAAATCAAAGGACTAAAACCTCAACAATATGAGACCACTTAGGACTATACAGAATATTTGTACAAATGGATTAGTGGATGATTATGGACTACGGTTTAAGCAAACTGAATTGAATAGGAATATCACGCATTTGTATTCTTATTTGTTTAATTTTTTCCGAATACAAATCCAAATACCAAACAAATTTTAATGAGATTTGTGTTTGTATTTGATTAATTATTCGAATAGTCAACAAATCATAAACAAATATTCTATTGATATTAGTCATAATTTAAATGATGGACCAAAATTGATTTTCAATGCTTTATCTTACGGAGTACATTATTTCTTAACTATATCTAAAAACAGTAGTGCACTTGCTCCAAACAAAAATTATGTATTACAAAGTAGAAGTATTAAAATCATACCCTGCGCGGGAAAAAATACCCAAGACATAAAAAAAATAAAGACATTATGAAAATTAGCTTCTTTACCCCTCAAACTGGACCCTGTGTTTTTGTACTTAGAAGTGGAGTTAGTGGACATCTGTTTTTATGGGAAGGAGGAAGTAATTAGTGTATATTATGTATTCTGTTTCTTCAAACCTAAGGTCATAAGAATCTCCAGCTTTTGTTCCTATGCACAAGACAGTTGTCTTCTCATTCTTCATTTAGCCTTGCATTTGGTAATGGCTAAACTCAACTGGGTAATAATGGAACTAATTCAAGCTGTTGTGTTAGTTAATTGGCATATCTGACCCTGGATCTGGAAGATCTCATGCCGCTGCAATGCAAGATCTCTCTCATAGAATTCTTCCACCTAGTTTCCTTTCCGAAAATCCAAAGGAAGCTGGATTTTGCCTTTGGTTACTTCACCCAGAACCCTCATCAAGACCAACTGTAAGGTAATAATTACTCTGTTTTATCTGTTGTAGTAATGATCTGTTTCGACATGCTTTTGTAAAAAAAATTGCCAAAAAATACTTATTGGGCTTTTTCAATGTAAAAGCACTTTCCATACATGCAACATTCCTTTTGTGTGTTCTGTATGTGTTTGTTTCTATCTCATCTCATTGTGTATTTAATTTATAACTCAAACCTCCCTGTTATAGTTTTCATATGACCCTATTAGAGGAAGGGAAATGATTTTCCTATCTCTGACAATTAGTTAACTGTTTCTACTAGATAATGTTAGACGCCTCGCACACCTCTAGAGGGGGGGTGAATAGAGGTGTTGCCCAAAAGACCAGTTTTTTGCGCGGAAACGTTCTTCACGAATATTCAATAAAATCAATGCACCACAAAGTAAAGTGAAGGATAAGAGCAATGCACACACGATATATACTGGTTCGGCCTAAATGCCTACATCCAGTCCCCGAAGCAATCGTGCCCAGGCCTTCACTAACCCGTCAAACTTAACGGAGTTTGACAATCCGAATACAACTCGAGAACTTGATTTCACAAGCCTCTTATATTACCACCGAAGTTTTGATTTCACAAAACTCGGGATTTCTTCCACCTAACGTTTGATTTCACAAACCGTTAGGATTTCTACCACATGGTGTAATCCCAACACCAAGAATACAAATCCCTTACAATAAAGTAAGAAAACAAACCGCAACCGAGTAATTCTCCCAACACGGAGTAGATTGTTGCAAATACAATGAAGTCCTTTAGAATATGGCAATATCTCTCAAAGACTCAAGCAATGAGGAAAAACTCAAGCAAGAAATGATTTAGCAATCAAAACAATTGCCTTGCTTGGATATAAGGAGGGGATTGAGTAGAATCTCTTTGGATATTCAAAGGATATGTTCTTCAAAGTGTTCTAAGTG